TGATATTACGCAGTGCCTGAAAATAGTCCCCAGCTAGGTAACTTCCAATAAGCCTATTTTCAGGCACTGCGTAATATCATTGCGCCTGCTGCACCCATGGTACGGCAGCAAAGTTCTTTGATTATTACGCCGGAATGAGAGTATAGTTCCAAGCCACATCAGCCTAGAAAATCGCAACTTTTCATTTTCCATCGGTCTTAGTACACGATGTTCCTTTAATAAACAGAGTTGCACAGGGGAAAGATTAGAGTTGAATATGAGGGCTGCTTTAGATTCTAGTCTCATGTCTGGGACTGGTATTTGTTTCTGATATGGTAGATTTAAGAATATATATATAGCGGAGTTACAAAGATACACTACCGTTAAAAAGTTATAGGTCAGTAAGATTTTTTTTTTCCTTAAAAAATTAATACTATTTTTCAGCAGGGACATATGACAATGATCAAAAGTGAAATTCAAATACATTTTCATTGTTACAAATAACAAGAAATGTTTCTTGAGCACCAAAATCAATAAATCAGTGTTAATTTGACTTGCAGTTGCACTTTCATACAGAACTGTTCACATTCCAACTTCAGTACCTTCAAATGTCTGTTGTTTTTTCTTCGAAGGTGGATCAAGTTTGAAGAGAAGGTGGAAAAAGGTGGGGAACGGTGGAGTAAACCACATGTGGCCACTCTGTCCTTACATAGTCTCTTTGAGCTTAGGACGTGTATAGAGAAGGGCACCATCATGCTGGACTTAGAGGCCAACACACTGCCAGGGGTCGTTGGTAATTGTTTCTTCTGCAGCTATTTTGTCTTATTAAAGGATGCTCTACTACCTTTAAGCAGTTTTGGTTACAAACATAAATCACTCAAATACCTTTCTTCATTGAAATAGTGTTGATGCTCAACAGAGGGATCTATGAACTCAGTGGTCCACGTTTATACTGATTTGAGAGCCAAACGATGATATAATTTGTCTTTAATATAAACAGCATGTTGCAGTCAATATCAACCCTGTTGAAAAAAAAAACAGCATATGCTGGTTAGGTATGTTTTGAAACATGACAGCTGGTTTGAGCTGGTCCTGAGCAGAAGCTAGTTGATTAGGACCGGCTTAGGACCAGCTCACAACCAGATTATAACCAGCTCAGGACCAGCTTAAACCAACACATGACCAACTAAGGACCAACTTAAACCAGCTCAAATGCTTCAAAACATACCTAACCAGCATATGCTGTTTTTTTTTCAACAGGGAAGGTTACAAGTTTTAAAAACAATTATTTTATTTAACTTTTACTTAATATTTTATATAACTTGTTTTCCTAGATTGACTTATTTTAATATTTGAATGTGCCATATCACAAGAGATGGGGAACAAAATAGGGGGGGAAACATGCCATTTAAGCATATGTTCAATTCTAGTTCATATTTTTTTAAACTTTTATTTATTAATATTTTTTGCATTGAGATTTAAAAAACAATCTAAGTGAATTTGTTTTAAAAAAATCATTAAAAATGTCACATATTGTTATTTAAACATAAGTATTTAAATTGTTTTGTTAATTTTATATATATATATATATACACACACACACACACACACACACACACACACATACAACCCAACTTTT